AGGATCCGTGCTTTGGAACCATGTTTTTTGCAGTTTTGTGGTGCCACGAATTCATGGGGGCATGATTTTTGGAGTGCTGCCTATAGTCTAAGACATGGTCTACAGTATGATGTAGGTTTTATTTCATTCCAGCATAGAAATCATATGAATTCATGAGGATCCGTCCTTTGGAATCATGGTGTTGCGACAGAGCCATGGCACCGTGATTTCTGTAGTGCGGGCTGTGGCCATGGACACATGTCGGAGCATGCGCAGTTCGGCTAGGAGCCGGGGATGCGCCGGCGCAAAGACGCGCCGGCGATCCGATGGCCCGGCTTGCGGCGCCTCGTCGAGATGAACCACCTAGGTAGGTGGTTCTACGTTGATGCGCTGTTTCGGGCAGAAGGGCCGGTTCGGGGACGGAAGCACTACGCTTCCCAGATGTTGTGGTGGGATCGCGCCCATTTGCTGCGTCCCCGAACCGTCCTTCTACCGGCCCAAATTCATCCGTGTGGACGGGGCCCTACTAAAGTAAATCAACAGTAGAAAAGAAACTTGTAAGTATGTGGAACAGAAGTTTGGGTTCCCTTTGACTGATGCGACTAAAGGCCAATTAAAACATTAGTAACCCCATTTAGCTGCTGGCAAACTCGTTTCGCGTTGGCTCACTGAGCAAGTCAGTTGAATTGTGTAGATCGGCCCCCTGCCCACACTCATATCCCTGTTTGCACTGGCATGGAGGACACAGAATATAATTGGACCGATACAGACAACAGGCCCAGTGCAAGCAAGCTGCAGCATCACACAGAGAGCCTTTTTTGTAGGCTTGTATGGAGTGAGTACCATCTGAATGGGCCTTAGCTGTACAATGGGAAGAATTAAAGTGACCTGTGGTGGGCTTTGGATGTGATTAGGTGGCTTTGGATGTGATTAAGTGGCATTCACTGATTTGTCTCAGGGAGGCAGGAAAGAAGAGGATGAAATGGCTCTGATGAACAGAGCAGTCCCCCCTCCTGCAAGAAAACAGCGGAAGCCCTAGAAGCAAGTGTGGTGGGCACATTCCTTGCAGAGAGTGCAATTAGGAGAAGAAGGAGGTGTTGTGCTTGTGTGCAATTAGCATCAGGCAAACGTCCACAGCTCCAATTAAACCTTGTGCAGGGCAGATCTCAAACATCTGTCTCACCAGGCGATTATCAAGTCCACCCCTGATTATTTAGTTGAAATAAGGAAAGCATAATTAAGGGGGGGAAAGTGAAGTGGCAAGAGTGGAGCTTGATCTTTTATGTAATTTTTCTGTATTAAAAGTTTATTTAGTGGTCAGCCTGGTGGCTTAGTTACTCTTAACTTCCCTAAACTTCTTTACTACTTTTTGGTATTAAAATGCTTAAAAGTAGTTCATTAA